TACGATGCTGTTATGGATCAGCAAGAGTCATTTATGGATACTTCTGGGCGAGATCCTACGGGTACGACTCATCGACCTACGCTTGTAGTCGCCATCAATGGCTCTCTCAAACGATCTGATAGTGTCTAGAGGGCGCTCCCATCTTGGACGTGTTGGGTTAGAGAGATCAGGTTCAGCTATGGCAGCCGTCAGTAATGCGACCGTAAGCTTTCGCTCGATGATCAACTTACCGATTGGGTTTCCCTCGGTATCTTTGAACTGGACGTCTCTCAGCGAGGCGATAGTGGTGCTCTCAGCTCTGGCGGCATCTTTAATAGTAACAGTGTCAGCGCTAGTACGCTTGTTGGTTGCAGCTTCCGTCATAGTAGCCATGTTTGTGCAAGTGCGACGATGCGACAAAAAGAAACAGTATGCAGGGTTATAGGAATGTGATGTTTCCTCAATGCTAGAACGATAAGAGGATCAGGAGAGTGACGCACCTCCAGGCTGTGCTTCGGTGATGGCAGCATTTGGGTTGGCCTTTGATCCACCTTTCCACAAGCTGTCCCGCCTCCTCTTCTCCGCAGGACTCTCTGAGAGATCCTGTTTGTGGTGACTAGGCTTGGAGCCGCCGCTCTTGTCGCTGCGAAAACTAAACGCCCTTGAGCGTGGCCTAGCTCCAGGAGATTGTGCGTGGTCCATGCTCGTTGATGAGAGCGCTCTTATTGCTTGAAAGCCGGGCTGGGCAGTGGGTGCAGGTGGCAGATGTGGGTAACGCTTCGGGAGTCGGCTGCGGGTAGATCAATGTTAATCGCAGTCAACGGGCTGAGCGATAGTGGTGAAGTGCGACGGCCTCGGCGAACGAGTGGAATCTGAGGCGTGCAGATGGGTGTTCGATAAAAGGATGCAAAAGTGTGTAGCTCGGATGAAAATGGAAGTGGAAGTTTTGCGAGGGTTTGGGAGTGACGAGTAGCTAAGGTAGCGGGAGAGGTGGGAGCGCTGGAGGTTTGCGCGGATGGCAGTGCTGCGAGTCGTAATCAACTACGCACCACGCGGACCGGGTGAATCGATTTAGCACCGATGGGGAATAGCAGCACGCCGGATGGGTGTGGCTGGTGCTTTGAGTTGCTTTGGGGCCAGCCCGGCCAGTGACACGCCGATTACTTTGCGTGACTTTGGGCAGGGTTGGCATTAATCACGGACTATCGCGCATCCTTGGGGCATGTGCATGGTTCACCGTCGCGGCGGTTGGTGCGAGCAGCGAGGAGGGCGCAGTCGCGGGGTGCGACCTGTCCTGGACTCCTGGACTCCCGCTGCCCGGCGAATGCGATGGTGGACTGATTAGCGGGGCCAATGCGAACCACTTCACTACGAGGACGCGCACGATTTAGTGATGCTGATCGATGATTGTCGCCATGGGTCACCCGTCAGATGGAATTGGCGCATTGCAGGAATAGCAGCAAGGCACCACCACCACCACCACCACCAGCTCCAGCCCCTCCTCTTGCCTGCTCCACCACGTGCATACGTGTATAAACCCATCTATATCTAACGTTGTGTGTCCGCTCACATGCGCACACAACCCGTGCATTCCAAGCTGAAACCCATTCTTCGCCGCGCTGAAGCATGCGCCAAAAATATCCGCCCAATTGCTGGGCACGCCGCAGACGCAGACGCAGACGGCAGACGCCTCGCCAGTGGCAAGACCAGCCAACAGCTTTGGCACTCACTCTCCCTCAACAGAAGACAGTACGACGGCTTGTGACGGGGATTGACCCCGGCCAAAGATCAACATCATTCTGTTCCTTAGCCTGCATCAGTGAATCGGTCGCAAACGGTATCTGCTGAGCGAGCCGCACTGCTGCACCTCCGCCATCATCCTACAGTAAGAAGTACCTTATCGCCTCCCGCCCGCCATCGCACCCGCACCAAACGGTCCAGAGCTATGTAAACTCTCCACTCCCCTGCGCTGCACCAGTTATGCACCTTGGTATGTCCCTCTATCGCTTTTTGCTGGAGGCCTTGAAACAGACGCATATAACCTGGAAAGTACATACCTACCTGGAGGATCGCTAACCAGCCCTCTCACATCCATGCATCCCGTCCGCGGGCATCCGAATGTCATTAGCCACTTACAGTCGTTGGCCTTAAATTCCTAACCCCGAGCCAGATAAGCCAACCAGAGGGTAGAAAGTCCGATTAGAATTCAACTCGGAGGAACGCGGATATAGCTTAACGACCACTTAGCGGTTGCTCTTCTATATACTAATTCGACGAAGCTGCTTTTCACTTCTACTACTTCACTTAAATCAGTGTCAGCTTATATACCTCTGGTTGGCTTTATCCGGCTCGGGGTTAGGAATTTAAGGCCAAGGACTGTATCTCTCCGGTCGCTACGGCCGTCTCGCTCGTACTGTGGCGCTTGCTGGCGTTTCCCGTTCCTGAACCGCCGTTTTTCCTGCCCACGCTTTCCGCCGTTTGCTTCACCAGCCTGAACAGGAAGGCCGCCAGAATGGGATTCTTGAAAATGTCACTCCTGGTTTCAGGTACGAATGAAAATCGCGCGCGCTGTAGCTTAGGCTTCGGTTGTGCAAAGCTACTTCAGATACCGGATTCATAGTCCCTTGGCATTAAGGATGGCGTTTGCATATCCTTGCTTTTCTCCAATTTCTCTCCGCATTCGCTTCGTATTCAGCGTCAAAGGACCCGGCTCCGAGGAATTTCGTCGGCTCCTCTGCATTCCGGTTCCCGTGACTTCTAGAATATTTTACCACGCGTCTTTCTTTGAGCACAGTCCCGTTCATATCAGCCGGTCTTTCGTCCCAATATATATGTGTAGCATGTCTCACATTGTTGGTAATGATATTGGCGGGTGTGTTCGTAGATTCTGTGTAAAGGCATGGACGGAAGTAAGACCTTCCGACGCATCATTCTCGTTCGCAAAGGTATGCGGGGAATAAGCATGCGAGAAGTCCGCGGCGATGATCCATAGCCGACGTCCTCGAAGAGACTTTGTGTAAAATACTCGCTCTTGAGTGCCACCATGGACAGGCACGTGGCTTCCTGCCTGAAGTCGGGCAATGCACCCCCTTCCTCTCTAGCAAGCCTGGAGATAGATCGTCAATGCATTAAGAGGTCGGCCTAATTGGAGGAATTGAAAAGCATGACTGGCGAAAAGGTCAGTGAGCGGAGGATGTTGAGGGTCTTTCGTACATATCATGATAGTGACGGCTAAGACAACCCTCCCGATAACCGCATACCGTACCTACCTTATCCCATCATATTACGTCTGTCCAGGAGGGAACGTAGCGCGAACGAAGGTTCATTCGTGGATGAAGTGATTGTTCGAAGTGACGGCTTTTTACGACCGCGTGTTCCGTCTTTGCTCATATGACTTTTACGATTGCGACGACTTGTCTTTCAATGTTGCCCACAAGATGCAATGTAGTGGTGTTTTCACATTGTAGTCAATGCGTTAGCCTGCGTGCCTGCTGTTGCAGTCCTTCTGATTTTCATCTGGTTGCACATTATTATGAAAGATCGATAGCATTGCTCTGTGTGGAGTATTCTCGCTCACGGCATTGCTGATCAAACCAAGAGAGCGCCGGACATACATTGTTTGCCTAAGCCCGGGCGCTCTACCCATATCATATAACGCGATCATGGACTGTCGCAAGTCATGGTTGGACTCATCAGCGTCTACGCTCGTGGAGATATCCCCACCAAGCCCGAGAAAGCGCTCTCACCTCTGTGCAAACGACAACACTGATGAACGGCCTTCTAGCTCTAAGCTCATGGCATGCTGACTGCTGTTCGAGCCCTGGGTCGTCATGTGTGGGGAAAAAGACGTCTCCCAGAGCAGGAGGAAAGAGCGAAACACTAAGCCTGATCTAGCTGTATTGCCTGCGTTACGGCAAACTCCTTGCGCAGTGTAGGTAGTAGGTAAGGTATGCGAGAGGGAAGGCACGAGCGACGATGACTTCGCCTTGAAAATGTCCTCCTGAGCTACATGTATCCAGTTGACACAAGTAGTCCGTCGAATGTCTGTGACCTTGGGGCTCCTTCTTCTCGCGCTTGTTTCCAAGTCAAAGTCAAGGTCAAACCCCCACTGCTAAGCGCGAGGAGATTCTGAATGGGAACTGGCCCGGAAAGCTCGACTTCGAATCATCACTCTTTCATACAGCCAACAAGAGCTGGAGTTGAGATTGGCATTTGTGACTGCTAGGCCCACACCTCCTGCGAAGTTATGAGAGACATTGTGACTTGTCAGGAAACTCAACTCGAGCATGGGCTGTTTAGCCAGAGGAGCCAATATCACACCTGGCTTAGGACGAACATTATGGCAGAGATTATCCGCTCCCCAGGTTTGTCGACTCGAGGAAAGCTATGTTCACGGTCAGAGGAGAAATGGTGGAAACATGCTACATGAAGACTCCGACTTGCTTACAAGTCAAAAATAGTGTAAAACTTCGCCAGCAACTGCGTCTCCCTTTATCACTATCGCTTCTGAAGAACACAGGAAGCACTGGTCTATCGATCCTCTGCGCTGACGAAGTATCCAAGCTCGGTAGTAACTACGAACCGACCGCTCAAGGGGTTCTCACTTGGAACCAGGAAGCCTCTATATTGTGCATGTGTGCATAGGATTATCTTTTCTCTTTAAGCGAAGACCGAAGCATGATCCTATGCAATGTTCAAGTGCCGGATGCACCTATGGCGGACTCCAAGGAACACGATACAGGCTCATCCCGCTACGCTAGGTCACACTAACACCACGGCTCTGGAGTGCATCGACCCTGTTGTTGACGAGCCGACTTTGCCATACGATACGCCCTGGCTCTTGTGGAGATGGGACGTCCCCTAGCGCCGTGAGGAATGAGTGTCGCCAGCCAAGCCCTGTCTCGCCAAATCCGCTCGAAGCTTCAACGTTTTGCCCAGCTATCGCACCGTGTGCCACGCATGGATTGGCTTATTTTGATATGACAATATATGGATTATAAATCAACCGATCCTTCAACAAAGCAGCTTTAGCTCACTTGGGAGAGCGCCAGACTGAAGTCAAACTTCGGTTCTTAGCATTCTGTGCGGTATCTGGAGGTACTGTGTTCGATCCACAGAAGCTGCAAAGTTTCATCATTTTGCACTTTTGCTGCGTGCGGAGAGTGTATCACAAGCACTGCCTACTACAGGCTTCTTTTTTTTCGGCAGGACACATGTCTAACGGCTTGGATCGCAGCAGAAACAAGAATGACTGAGACTCCCACGGTCTCCTCCGCAAGTCGGCACCATTCCTCACCGGAAGACAAGTTGCAGTGCTTGGCACTCCTCTGTACCGTTACATCCGTCCAGACCTGCCTTACAAGAAACACAACTCAGGTAGCCAAGCGATCATTTTCTTCCGAGTCGTCACACGTGGACAACACCTTCGCTGGACACGACGAATCATCGCAGTTTGCCAAGCAGCCCTACAGCCCTGATGCAGGCACTCTGCATGCCGTACAAGCGAGACACGTCTGATCGTCCCCGCTTCTTCACGGGCTGACCGCTCTCCAGCTCGCAGGATCCCGCCTGTCTGGGGCCTCTAGCCAATGAGGAGAGCGGCCGAGAGGTAATGCTAGGCTCTAAAGGCGGACGTACCGTCACAGTAGCTTGGCGACACTGCATGCTCTCCGGTGTGACTGATTGCATGAGCTTCTTGTGAGTCGATGGAGATAAAGTACAGGCATACATATATAGATGCCTCTCTGGGCGGACTTGAGCTTCTCTGGTAGATCCTCCACATCACTGCAATTGCCATCAAGTTCATCCTAAGAACTGAACTTACACCGGACATAAGTCCATACATCAAATGTCCACCACTTCTTCTCCTCCCATAGGCCCAACCCGCACCAATACCGCGTCCTCCATCTCGTCCCAAGAGACTTCCAATCACCTCACTCGTGCCAATACTGCCCCGTCTCCTACTGAACGAAGCTTCTTCAACGCTATTGCATCCAAGGTCAGCCCACGGAGCCGGTCGCGCTCTCGTACACGCTCTGCGTCACCTGTACCACCCTCCCAAATCGACACCTCCGCCGCGATGCATCCCACATCACAAGCATTACCGGCATCGCCAGGGTCTCGGACCGCTTCACCACAGTCGCCCAAACACCGCTCTGGGCCACCGAAACCGCCCCAGAAACGCCACAGTAGCAGCGGAAGCGCCTCGAGCGGCACGTATACACAATGCGGCAGACATAGTAACGAGTGGCTGTTCAATGGGTTCTCTGTTAAAGAGACCGTGAAAGGGTTCCTTGAGAGGAAAGATTCGTGAAGAGAAAAGGAGAATGGAGTTTGAAGAGATGTGGAACCCGGCAGCGAAGGCTAAGGTGGTACCACCTACACTATTCGGCAAAGGCGGCGCTACCGTTTAGCTTGTCCATTTGGCATGCATTCGACAAGACTGGAAAGTCCAAACGTGTACGTCAAGAAGATATATACCGTCTGGCGCAGACACACTCGCGCCTTCCGCGATCATGAAGCGGATGACCGGATTTCTTTAGTTCCCTCTCGCGGAACGAGCGTTCCTATCACCAGTCATGACTTGACAGGAACTCCGAGGCGCATAATGGAACTGGCGTGGAAGAACCATGGAGAAGTGGAGGGCTTGTCTCTACGGGACAGCGATAACGGGTGAGCATGCTAAGAAGGACGGCTCAGAGAGCGGGTTTGTGTTCCAGGGTTGGTATGAGTAAGGACTGTCCGACAGTATGTAGATATGTATTTTCAGTATCAATGTTGGAAGTTACGAATCAATTTTGATTGTTCCATTTATTCCTGACATGTGAGAGAGGAGGCGGGGGCGGCGGGAAGCAGAAGGCAATGGATGTCATGCCAAGACAAATTCCCAAACCCGGAGGATAATTTCTAAGCAGCAACGCTCTCATGAACCAATTGCTCTAGCTATTTAACATACCAATCTTTCCCTTTTCGTGTTCTGCTAGCTCTTGTATACCTTAGCAAACATGTCCGCACACGACGAGCACGAGGATTACGAGGGAATGGAGGAGGAAGAAAATGAAATGTTCGACCCGGCGGAGGCAGAAGAAGAGATCCCAGAAGGCGACGATGTACACATGGATTCCGACGAGGAGGACGACGGAATGCTCGAGGAGATCCAGCTCCAGAACGACAGTGTAGCACACTTTGACGGCCACAAAGACAGCATATTCTGCATTGCGCAACATCCTACCGATCCTTCAATCATCGCAACTGGAGGCGGCGACGACGTAGCTTATATATGGAACTGCACGCCTCCTGAAACGCCAGTTCTGCCCGCTTCGTACCAGACGAACCCCCAGCCGGTCGAACGTAAGAGCCAGGACGCATGGGCGAAGCTGGAGGGCCACTCGGACTCGATCAACACGATTGCCTTCACGCTACCTAGGGGAGAATTTGTGGTCACAGGCGGCCTTGACGGTCGTGTGAGCGTCTACAAGACACCTTCTCAGCCGGGCGCGGCACCTCTTGTGGGCACAGCACAAGAGGTGGAGGAAATCAATTGGATCATCCCATGCCCGCACCCCTCCTACCCCAACACCTTCGCCATGGGCGCCTTGGATGGAAGCGTTTGGGTCTATACTATTAATGCTGCCGATACTGCATCACCTCTCAACATTGTGCAGGCCTTTTACCTGCACACTGGACCGTGTACTGCGGGTTCCTGGACCCCGGATGGAAAACTCCTTGCGACCGTCTCTGAGGACTCAAGCTTGTACGTCTGGGATGTGTTTGGAGAGGCCGCGGCAGCTGGCCTCACGGATCCGGGCGCGAGTCAGGCGGTCGTGGGTCTTACCGCCGCAGATGAGCGGTTCAATGTCGTTGGCGGTCTGTACAGTGTTACAGTCTCGCCTGGTGGTGCTATTGTCGCTGTGGGTGGACCAGAGGGAAATATTCGGATTGTCGGCCTGCCCAGACTTTCTATGCCTTCGCAATCAGTTACATCTGGTGCCAAGGGTGCAGGAGCAAGGAACAAAGTTGGCGGAGGAAAGCAAGCCGGCGGGCCAAAGGGTGGTCAGTCACAGGCTGCGTCGGGTCAAGCAGGCCAGATTTTGGCTGCTTTGCAGGCACAGTCGGATGGTGTCGAGACGCTCGCGTTCTCCCAGCCACCGCTTACTCTCTTGGCTGCCGGCAGTGTCGACGGCAGCATTGCATTGTTTGATGCGGCGCACAACTTCGCGGTTAGGAGACATATCAAGGAGGCGCACGAGGAGGAGGCAGTCATCAAGGTGCAGTTCGTTAAGAGTAACAACAACGACTCCAACTGGCTTCTCACATCATGCGGCAACGACGGCGTGATCAGAAGATGGGACGTAAGAGGAGGCACAGCTGCCGCCGGACATGGCTTCGTCGGCGAATGGCGGGGTCACAGAGGCGGAGGAGAAGGAGGAGGTATCTTCGACTTCGTGCAAGGCGATGGTGGAAAGACTGTGGTCACCGCAGGAGACGATGGCGTGTCACTTGTCTTCAACATGAGCAGCTAGTCTTGTCTACGCCTTAGGCGCTCCTATATGATACCCCACAGATAAGGCTCACGTCGCCTCAGCCTTGAACATCATCCTCTCGTCCTGCTTTCTGACTGTCTCCATCTTTCTTACTCTCTCCAATCTCGCGTCGTTCAGAATGTAGCATTTCGGAAGCCCAACTTCCTGGATTCCCGCCTGGACCGCTGCCTTTTCATCCGCTCCTTCCTCCATTGCCACGACCATCGCAGCTGCAGCAGCCCCACATAACCAGGTATTCGGCATTCCATGGCCGGTATAACCCGCCGACATGAACATGCCAGGCTGTGACGGCACCGGACCAACCCACGGGACATTATCCCTGGAGAATCCCATAATACCGGTCCACTCATTAACCGCTTCCAACTCCAACTTCTCCTCCGCTTTTGTCTCCTCGCCGTCGCCCAGATCTAGCAAACCAAACAACGACCTGCGCAAGTATGTCGCAGTGCGATCGTCGATGACGGAGTCATCAGTGACGCCCAAAGCATGTCCGTTAGGTCGTCCACCGCCGAACATCAGATGACCGCCTCGCTCGTTCGGCCGCTGAATTAGGTAGTCATCCTGGCTGTGACCAACGAAACCGAATGACGTCTGCAGTCGGCTCTCCCCCGAGGCTGTTGGTGGAGGCTTGAGCGCAGACATCTGGCCCCTGCAGGGCACGATCACATCCGCAAACGAAGGCACGAGATGCGAAGTGTAAGCGTTCGTAGCCAGAACTACGTTACGCGCTGTCATGGTGCCTCGTTCTGTCTGGATGGACCAAGGCTGAGAAGCATCTCCTGTGGGTTTGATCGCAGTGACAGGTGTATGCGTCTGCAGGTTGAACCTTCCGGCTATTGAGGGCGAAGTCAAGAGATCCTCCAGTATCCGGGCGACGAATTTGTACGGCCACATCCGTGCCGCAATATCAGTCACTATTGCGCCTTTGGCCTTCGGTCCGAGCTTCAGACGCTTCAGCTCGTCCTTGTCAGTCACGAGTTTTACCCTTGCCGCCAGTGAAGCATCTGACTTCTGCAGAGTGGCGAGAGACTTGTCGGCATCGGCAAGGTCGGCGGAGGTCATGAGAGCTCGCACACCGGGCTGAGGGTAGAATTCGCAGTCGATCGATTTAGAAGCGATCAGAGACTGGATGGAGGCAAAGTTACGGAGCTCGAAATGTCCGATCGAAGGGTCGGTTGGTACATCATAGAGTAGAGGCTGGCAGTGGCCGCCGTTCTGTGGGGTGTCAGTTCGTTACGGCGGTATGTTACTGATACTAGAGCTTGTAATGGTAACAGAGGTGTCGTGGCAGCTAATGAGATCGGATTGGGCTCGTCTGTGGATAGGGAACTTTGCTCTCTCCCAGCACACACTACGGTGCCGGACGCGAATCAATAGTATCGCAAATAAACAAGGATGGACCTACACGTCCAGTAGCTCCCCAACAAGCCTCCCTAGCCTCCAACATAACGACGTTCAGCTTCTCATTTTCCTTCTTACCATCTTCATCATGATGTCGCAAGAGATGATGAGCTACACTGGCACCCGTAATGCCACTGCCAACCACAACTACATCAGCATGATTGGGCAGTTCGCGGGTCGA